GGTGTATCCTGATTTGGTCCATATATATTCACTAACAAAAAAGGAAGATTGTCTATTACTACATCTAGAATAAGATAATTGCCATTGTCATCTTTATATTCATTAATCAATGTAAAGTCACAGTTATTATTGATAAGTGTAGCAACTCCCCGTGAGTTTGATTTGTATGAACTAAAAAAAGCCTTATATCCCCATAATGCTTTTATCATGCTTTCATCTTTTGTGACAAAGTGTGTGTCTTGAAGGAAATAAACATTTAATTTTTTTTCTTTTAAAATTTTAAAGACATCCCTCCTTTTATTCATGTCCCTTAAACCTTGGCAATTTAATGTAAGTATTTTTAGGAAATTTTCACATGGATAGTCATCCATTCCACAGCAAATGCATAAGTTTACTGTTCCCCTACAGCAAGAAAACAAGAGTTGATAAAAAAAGTAAAAATCTATATACACTAGAGAAAAGTAGTTTTTAAGCTCAGACACACCTGCTGTCATTTTGAAAATGTGCCAAACTAGACCCAAAAAACCTAACTTTAGGTTTATATTTGAAATGAAAATGCTAAAAATATAGAAAATTAATTTCAGTTGAGAGGAACTCTTTATACTCAATTTCTTTCCTATTCAGTTCCTTTTTTCTAATTACAATTTGTTGTAGTTACCATGTTTGTTTTTTTTTTTTCTATTAAAGATATATATATCTGAAATGTAATTACAACAAAAATTTATCCATATCAAAATGTCGCACTTTGCACTGTATTAAAATTGAAATTATGCACACAGACAAGTTTACACGATCCATGCTGTACGATATCTATACCGGAAATTGAGTCTTTGAAAAAACACAAAAATAGTGACGTATACACTTGCAAATTCCGGAAAGTATCAAAACCTAAACATAATTTATAATTTATCCAGATATCATGTGCAGCATGAATATAGCCATATCGAAAACCACTAAACCACTAGAATAAATATTTTAGTTTATGCAGAATTACCGTAATAGTCAAATTCGATGAAAGTACACAAATACTAACTAATTGAAAAAGTGATTTACTGTAAGTTTGTATTTTTAGCTAGTGACTTTTCATAATTTATATTTTGAAGCGTCAGATGGGAACCGGCATATTTCTCGCCGCACTCATCCCAACCTCTGTGATGTGCGTGAAGCGTCTAGGACCGATCTTACTACCACACCACCGCGAAACGACCACTAGTGCGTTATTTATGTCATTATCAACCAGTGTCTTTAGTAGCATTCTCCCGGCTCCGTGCTCGCCGTCATCTTCTGATCCCTCGTGTATCGTGCCGTCGTGACTGGTGAACCGAAACGCATAAATGTTATGACTTGCACTGATAGTGTTTAACTTATCTTTCACAACTTTCACAAGCGATCGTCTCACCTGTTTATAGGAGTCTACTGGCGTTGCGTGGGCAGCAATCCGGTTTCCATTGTCTTCTGTTGTCTTCCCCGTACTGATCGCGATCTTTACCTCTTCTCCACTGATGATCTCATCGGCCATTGGTCTGCTACCAATTTTTTCCCTGTACACCGTCTTGCTCTGCGTGAAAATGAGCTTCTGACCTTTTAGCACCGTTTCTATGTTACGGTCCGCATATTTCTTTTGGACATCATATAAATGCTTCTTTTTTTCATGGACTTCTTCAGGTTGGTGTTGAGACACTCTTATTGGGAACTTCTTATCCTTGAGAATTTTAATGTGTCTCATCACAATGTCCTTGTGTGATTTATTTACAAACTGGACACAGACTGGCCGAGGATATTTCCTATGTTTGTCGTATTCCCCCATTCGGAACACTTTATATATCTGTAGGCTATCAACAGTCTCTGCCGGTATCTCCATCTCTACTGCAAACACGTTACTAATGATCTTCACAAGGTTTTCAGGATTTTTTACTTCGGGTGCCTTTTCGTCTACTACACTCACAATGATATTGTCTTCAATTGCTCTAGATCTTAGCTCTAGAATCTGTTCACTTTGAGTCTTTACACAATACTCCAGTCGAACTATGTAATCTTTCATTCGGCTAAGTTCTCTCCATCTTTTTCTGTTTTTCCTGCAGTTCAGTGGTTATATATATCGTATCGTTCGCCTGTTCTTGTACGTTTTCTAATCTCTCCTGAATGCCATGTTTTCCTCTAATGTCCTTGGTAACTTCGTCTAGATGGCGACCTTGTCCATCAATCCTTAGTAGAAGGTTTGCAAGAGTATTTTGTATATTAGTTATACCGTGCATGACATCTCTCATCTGAAAATTTTCACATTCCTTTGAAATTTCTTCATCACTAGTACTGGTGTTAGTGGTGTTAGTATATCATCGAGCGCTCTCTTTTTAGACTGGGTCAATTGACTAGCCATATTTCACAATGTAACAGTGGAACGTATGAGTATCGCTCACTAGTGTTCACAAACAGATATGTTTACAAATTTTGTTTACCTTCTCGTTTCTCGTACCTTCTCGTTCCTCGCTTCTATTGCATTTTTTTGGTTAAAACAAACTGCAACACACTTTAAAACATCTTTGAATATCAGCAATGCATTTTTCAAGACCTGAAATTAATTAAATTCGAGGTTTTTTGACTTCACTTTGCTCTCGATAAAAACTTTCGTCTACAAGTTCTTATACGAGTGTAGTTTAAAAAAAATTATGCAAAAATGTGAGCAAACTTTGTATTTATATTTAATGAGAGCTAACCTCTCGCAAACTGCGCCCAGCTTGAAGCATGCCAACCGCTTTTGAACGTTCTTCTACTGACATACGCGCCATTTTACAGAAATTTTATTATGTTTTTCATTTGTAACTAAGTATTGAAAGCGCAAAAAAAAGCACGTTTTATCAAAGCATACGACTGGAAAATCAATCGAATATGAGTTTTTCATTTGAAGCAAACCCAGTCACGGTCCACTTATCACAAGCGCGATTTACATTTCTTTTGTGTAATTGTGTTGGATTTTACGTTAGCAGACGATGTTTTGAATTTCAAATACCTAGCTTAAAAGGTTTGTTTATTTTTAAGGTCTTCCGTTTCCAACGGGAGACCTTCTACTGATTCTGTTGGTAAAGATTATTAGGGTCTTCCGCTTCCTTCGGAAGACCCTACTGTTATTCTACTGTTTCTTATTATTAGGGTCTTCCGCTTCCTTCGGAAGACCCTACTGTTATTTTATTGTTTCTTATTATTCTTTTTTTTTCCCGCTCGATTTTTGACAGGCGATTTCTCAAAGACCTTTGGACTGATCGTTATGAAACTTTCAGGATAGATAGCTTGTAGTTAAACCTATTTAAACCTGTTTTCAGTTTTTTGATGCATACCTTTATTTGTGAGTTATTGCCCTTTAATTGAAAATTTTTGATGTCTCGTTTCCACTGAAAATCTCAAAAATGACATAAGATATTTACACGAAAGTTGGAGAACTTGTAGCCAAAACATTGTAGATGTGCACAACGATAAAATTATATAGCTGATTTCTTAAAGTTTTGAAGCTATAAAACGGCAAATTTTAGTAATTTTTTTTCTTTGAATTTTTGCTACTTTTTGTGTAATAACTTTTAAACCGAGAATAATTTGGTAAGAAATATATTACAAAAGTTGTGGGTAATTACGAGGGCTTTCATATTTGATTAACGAAAAGGGGCTGGCCGCTATAATTAGGGGTTAATAGCTCATACACGCTTTTTTCTGATAGCTAAAAATATTGGTATATTATGAAAAAGTTTGACTGAAATAATTTCGAACTTATAAAATCTTGTCATTTGATATAAAAAGAAATAAACTTCCAGCTATATTTAATTGCTTTTTTTATAAAACAAGTACGTATGTGAGAAACCTTTCAGGAACAAGTTGTCTACTATAGCCAGCCAAGCCTTTACTGCATACATGTGCACATTTTTAGTTGATGCATCTAAAAGATATAGTTTTGATTCGGTGTTTCTTTGTTTTCTTTTTATTCAAATAATTTTAAAATGTGATGATGTACACAACAATAATTAGTACCTAGTTTAGAGGATTTTTTCGCGCTTGTTTGTAAACAACGCGCGGCATTGTGGGAAATAGGAAGGTACTAAAGACGCGATGTACTAAACACTGATTTGACCTGATTCAAATTTGTCTGTAAATGTTCCAAACAATTGAATTTTTGTATAGCATATGCCTCGAAGTAATAAAGTCTGTACATAAGTAATTCAAAATACTCAATATTACCATTTAATTAAAAATTAAAACGTCAGGTAAATATCAGGTCTCTAGTATATCCCGTTTTTAGTGTGCCCCTTCAAGTCGACGTCGGACACATGTTTGCCATGGTTTACAAACTGAAAATAGAATGATTTGTGAAGTTGAACATTTTCTCACAAAGAATCCGTTTGTAGACATGCACACTCATTTAATCTGCAGCTACGAAGTACTTTGTCACTTCTCTGTAACATTATTCTAAGCAGAATTATCCCGATTCATATATTCTAAGAATCTTGTGTGAATTGTTTACGAGGAAATTCTGACTGTCACATTAACAAGGATGAACACTCTTGACATTTTAATGTATGATTGGCTTGGACGGTAGAGTCTATAACATAACCCAGTCTTGGATTTCGGGAAAATTATTTCCAGATTGGTTTTCACATCTATAATTTTCTTGAACGCCGAACCCGATTGTATTCTTCATATGAGGTGGTAAATCCAATCTTGACATGTATTTTCAATCTCCTATGCAGAGTTGTCGTTCGTTCCTCTCTCAAACACCTCTGCAATCCAATGGGCTCACGTCAAGATTTTTGACATAACGTATAAAACGTGATATTTGCAGGATTGTTACAAATTAAATGGATAGTTCTGGATTTATTTAGTAAATATCTATCTCGAAACTCAGACATAAGCATAGAAAATGAATTATAATCAATTAAAACAAACGCACTATTTCTCGTGTTTATCACTGTGATATACGCGAGCCAACGACAGAGGTGAATGTATGAGCCGATGGTAGAGAGTGATGTATTTTATGGAAGGAATTCCGGTATACTGCTTTGTTTTGAAGTACGACCTCTTTCTTCACAACAGCTCCATGAAAGGGATGAAAAAAATAGGTATGAACGTAGTAAACATAGAGATATGTTTTGAAATAGTGATTGAATATGCGGTGTAAACACTTCAACAGTGTTCAACGGGTCTGGTATAAATATATTTAAGCATACGAGAAAATCAAATTAAAATATTTATAAATATATATATATATACAAATTTACTTCAAGTTTTGCCAAAGGTCAACTTGATAAACTACCTAACCTAGTCACGGTTCGACATAAAGTCTATAAACTACCTAACCAGTCACGGTTCTACATAACCAAGTCTGTAAACTACCTAACCCAGTCCTGGTTCAACATCACCAAGTCTGTAAACTACCAAACCCAGTCATGGTTCTACATAACCAAGTCTATAAACTACCTAACCCAGTCACGGTTCGACATCACCAAGTCTGTAAACTACCAAACCCAGTCATGGTTCTACATAACCAAGTCTGTAAACTACCTAACCCAGTCATGGTTCAACCTAACCAAGTCTCTAAACAACCTAACCCAGTCTCGGTTCAACATAACTAAGTCCATAAACTACCTAACCTAGTCATGGTTCGACATCACCAAGTCTCTAAACAACCTAACCCAGTCACGGTTCTACATAACCAAGTCTTTAAACTACCTAAACCAGTCACGGTTCGACATAAAGTCTGTAAACTACCTAACCCAGTCACGGTTCTACCTAACCAAGTCTGTAAACTACCTAACACAGTCACGGTTCAACCTAACCAAGTCTCTAAACAACCTAACCCAGTCTCGGTTCAACATAACTAAGTCCATAAACTACCTAACCCAGTCATGGTTCAACATCACCTAGTCTCTAAACTACCTAACCCAGTCACGGTTCTACATAACCAAGTCTTTAAACTACCTAAACCAGTCACGGTTCGACATAAAGTCTATAAACTACCTAACCCAGTCACGGTTCTACATAACCAAGTCTATAAACTACCTAACCCAGTCACGGTTCAACATCACCAAGTCTGTAAACTACCTAACCCAGTCACGGTTCAACATCACCAAGTCTGTAAACTACCTAACCCAGTCACTGTTCAACCTAACCAAGTCCATAAACTACATAAACTAGTCACGGTTCTACATAACCAAGTCTGTAAACTACCTAACCCAGTCACGGTTCTACATAAACAAGTCTCTAAACTACCTTACCCAGTCACGGTTCTACATAACCAAGTCTGTAAACTACCAAACCCAGTCATGGTTCTACATAACCAAGTCTGTAAACTACCTAACCCAGTCACGGTTCAACATCACCAAGTCTGTAAACTACCTAACCCAGTCACGGTTCAACATCACCAAGTCTGTAAACTACCTAACCCAGTCACTGTTCAACCTAACCAAGTCCATAAACTACATAAACTAGTCACGGTTCTACATAACCAAGTCTGTAAACTACCTAACCCAGTCACGGTTCTATATAACCAGGTCTGTAAACCACCTAACCCAGTCACGGTTCTACATAACCAAGTCTGTAAACTACCAAACCCAGTCATGGTTCTACATAACCAAGTCTGTAAACTACCTAACCCAGTCACGGTTCTACATAAACAAGTCTCTAAACTACCTTACCCAGTCACGGTTCTACATAACCAAGTCTGTAAACTACCTAACCCAGTCATGGTTCTACATAACCAAGTCTGTTAACTACCTTACCCAGTCTCGGTTCAACATAACTAAGTCCATAAACTACCTAACCCAGTCATGGTTCGACATCACCAAGTCTCTAAACTACCTAACCCAGTCACGGTTCTACATAACCAAGTCTTTAAACTACCTAAACCAGTCACGGTTCTACATAACCAAGTCTGTAAACTACCTAACCCAGTCCTGGTTCAACATCACCAAGTCTGTAAACTACCAAACCCAGTCATGGTTCTACATAACCAAGTCTGTAAACTACCTAACCCAGTCATGGTTCAACCTAACCAAGTCTCTAAACAACCTAACCCAGTCTCGGTTCAACATAACTAAGTCCATAAACTACCTAACCCAGTCATGGTTCGACATCACCAAGTCTCTAAACTACCTAACCCAGTCACGGTTCTACATAACCAAGTCTGTAAACTACCTAACCCAGTCATGGTTCAACCTAACCAAGTCTCTAAACAACCTAACCCAGTCATGGTTCAACATCACCTAGTCTCTAAACTTCCTAACCCAGTCACGGTTCTACATAACCAAGTCTGTAAACTACATAAACTAGTCACGATTCTACATAACCAAGTCTGTAAACTACCTAACCCAGTCACGGTTCTACATAACCAAGTCTCTAAACTTCCTAACCCAGTCACGGTTCTACATAACCAAGTCTTTAAACTACCTAACCCAGTCATGGTTCTACATAACCAAGTCTGTAAACTACCTAACCCAGTCACGGTTCTACCTAACCAAGTCTGTAAACTACCTAACACAGTCACGGTTCAACCTAACCAAGTCTCTAAACAACCTAACCCAGTCATGGTTCAACATCACCTAGTCTCTAAACTACCTAACCCAGTCACGGTTCTACATAACCAAGTCTTTAAACTACCTAAACCAGTCACGGTTCGACATAAAGTCTATAAACTACCTTACCCAGTCACGGTTCTACATAACCAAGTCTTTAAACTACCTAAACCAGTCACGGTTCGACATAAAGTCTATAAACTACCTAACCAAGTCACGGTTCTACATAACCAAGTCTGTAAACTACCTAACCCAGTCACGGTTCAACATCACCAAGTCTGTAAACTACCTAACCCAGTCACGGTTCAACATCACCAAGTCTGTAAACTACCTAACCCAGTCACGGTTCAACATAACCAAGTCTGAAAACTACCTAACCCAGTCACGGTTCAACCTAACCAAGTTTCTAAACAACCTAACCCAGATCTTTTATTGTAGTCTGAATACACATGTCAACAAAATTGTTTATTAGTGCAGAATGGCTCGTTTTGTTCAAATTAATATTTAACATGTTTGAAAGTTTTTAAGCTATTGGATATGTATTTATTTGTTTCATTAATTATTGAATATTTATCAATACATGTAACATGTATAACAACATGAAATTTTATGGATATATTTTTCAGGTGTAGAAAACAAACCTCATCACCAGAAGTCTCTGAAGAAAGTGGTCGTGAAACTTAAAGAAGACCTGAAGGTCTCACCTGCAGAAAATATAGAAAATTATTTTTATGTACAGTTAACAGACTGTTAAATATCATAGAAGTCTCAAGAAAGGAGAGGTAAAATAATGAAATTATAAAAGGTGCTATTACAAATATGATAAATACATTTATATTCAGGGACTGACTGACAGATTTTTAAGGCACTTGTCCAAGGGCAAGTACATGGTCAAAATTCACTTGCAAAACCTGAATTTTTGCTTGTCCTACCATAACCTAATACTGTATTTTAATATAAATATTTTTAAATTGAAGAGGAAGACAAATACTAAGTAGATCATATGGCTTTTTTAAGTCACTTGCCCATGGGCAAGTGATCGATAAAATTTCACTTGCCCACCCCTAAAATTCACTAGTCAGTAGCTCAATTGCTCAAATCATGACCCTCAGGGATAGGGTGGGCCAGAATGGCAAATCAATGTTTGGACAGCAAAGCCATGATTGGTCTTATTTTAGTTTGGGGGCACAAAGTAAGTTCAAATGTAAAGGTCAATAAAGCCACAGGTAGTCAAAGAAATATCCAAGCATCCTTAGGTTAGTGTAGACTGAACTTTGATCAAATCATACCCTTTTTCCTTTAATTGGTTGGGACCACTTTTGGGTTAAACTTTAATCATAAACTGATTTCTGCTTTTTTTCCTAGCCACAGTGCTTTGGTGAGTGATGTGGCCCATGGGCCTCTTGTTGAATGTTTGCCTCATGACCTTGATCTTGAATTATGACTACCTTTGAAAAACTTAAATCTCACATAACCATAGATTTTTTTAATTTTCCGTGTTAGGGTCAGCATTCATTTCAGATGTGCATTCCTTATTACAAGACTTTTTCAAATGATACCAAAATTTTAACCTCTTAACCCTCATTGTTGAGTCCCAAACAAATTTGTTTTGTTTTTTTAAGATTTTATCTTGAATATCTTGAGAATAACGATTTAATGTATTTTTCCAGTTCGCCTCCACCAGGACTATTTCTCTTAACTGCATGTTAAGAAATATTCCTGGCCTGGGTAACTCCCCCAGTGATACACTGTATATTGCATACATTAAAAAAGCACACAATCTAATTCCACTTCCCCTTTTCAACACACAAAACCTATTCCATTGACTTATCATGTTAAGCATTCTTCAATGAGCTTTTTTATTGTTTTTTCACTGATTTTAGGGGTATGTTCAGTTCTCCATGATGTTACCTTTATAGTTTGAAAAACTGCCAAAATGGAAAGGTTTTGACATCACTGGAAGATGGGTATGATAAATTTTATTTTTTCAGGATAACCCATGGCAAAGTGGAAGGCAGTTATTAAGCAGTTTCTTAACCTTAACAGTTTGAACATGTTAGCAGTTCTAGAGCAGTTACTTAACCTTCCCCAGATTGCTAATGGTTATACAAACTGCTTTCAAACCTTTTGCAATTTATAATCAGTTTTCTTAGCCTTACCAGTTTCTTACCAGTTCATAGGCAGTTTCTTACCAGTTCATAGGCAGTTACTTAAGCAGTTCATATGCAGTTACTTAAGCAGTCCATAGGTAGTTACTTAAGCAGTTTTTGCCAACTGCTAGTGGACTTCCAGTAAACAGTTATATACTGCTTATCTACTTTCCTTTTACCACATAAATATTAATGAGTCACAAGGGCATTTTCTGGTAGCAAATTTGAAATACTAAGCAATAATACATCAATTGTTACATTTTAATTTATTGTATTTTGTACAGTTGTATAACTACACAATCAAGCAATCAGAGATTGCTATGATGTTCAATGTTTGAAAATTTTCAAACACTGTTTTATGCATCTGTAATTTTAAATGTATCTTATTTTAATTACATAAACAATCATGCATGCAGTTATACTCACTGACTATTTAGAAAACATACATCCCAGAGATTATAATGTTCAACAATTAAGATTCAACTATTCAACACCATTAAAATATGTCGAAAGAAACAGCAAGGTCAATATCCACTTCATCCCACATTAAGTCCTGATTATACAGCACTGGAGTATACATAGCTACATTGCATAGCTGCATGGTTTCAATTCTTAATGATTCCAGCAATTATTGGGTTTTCTTAAATCACAAAAGTACTGCATGTACATTAATTTTGGGAATCATAATTGCTTGGGTTTATAGATCATCCATTGATCTCAGTTCTTTTTCTTGAAAGAGACACAAAAATGTATTTCAGTGTATGCAAACTAGAATTTCATTTGTCCCACTCCTCATCCAAAAGTCTGTAAATGGAAAGGAATTATAATAGAAACAGATTGTAATTAATTAATGCTATTCAAATAGAATTGACATATATATTTATTCAATTTATCTTTTTATTCTGTATACTTACCAATTGTTAAATGTCCACATCATTATTTCAATAATTCTAAAGCTAATTCTCAGACCAGCAGGCTCCCTCTTCAATGGTTTATAGCCTTTGTTCAACAATACAACATTGCACCCAGAATTCAATTTTGGCGGGCAGTTGTTGGGTTCCTGTTGTTTATATTTGTTGGAACATTGAGCCCAACATTAAAATTTCTCTTGAACCCAATCAAATTATACAAGGGAACTGCCTATATACTGCTTACAAAACTGTTTAGGAAAACTGTCTTGTCCTCAAGCATGTGCAGCTAAGATATAACTGTTAGGGACACTAATTACTGCTTAACGTAGGTCGCGGGTTTACAGGGCTTTTAAAAGTGTTCGAAAACATACCATGAAAATTGCCTATATGATTTCTCCACCTTTGATTTCCATTCTCTGAAAATTTTATAAAATTCGTCTGCACCGTTTTTGTGTAATTGAATTCCAAAGATGTCATTGTTGTAGTAACATTTTCAACGGTATTCCATTGAATTGTATAGGAAAAACGTCGTTTTTGGCTTGTATTCAGACAAGGTTTTGATTAAAAAAATATCAATAACTTTTAAATCGTTCAGACAAATTTGTTTATCCTTTGGTATTTAAAAATAGAATTGATTTGAAATAATTCTATGTGAAAAAATTAATATGTCTTCGGGTTTGTTTTCTCGTAATTAAATTGAAGATAATTGCTTTTATATTGAAAAATGTAGCATTTTTAAGAATAACGTCATAAAATATCGCGACGTCACGCTTGACGTTGTGAATATCGATCCTGTATACAGAGCAAAAAAAAAATACGGATTTTAAGAATCAGTCCTTTAGTTTCTTTTATATATATATATATATATATATATATATATATATATATATATATATATATATATATATATATATATATATTATAAAAGAAAAAGAAAATGAAGTTTCCAAATTTCATTTAACACAAGCGCTTTCTGGATTTCATAATCCGTCTTCAGGTGTACATAAATTGAACTGATTGTTTTGCTTAGTAACGTTAACTATGACGTCATGACGTCATGAGAGTCTTTGCAGGGAAGGAAGTAATCTATGACGTCATAGTATGGCTACGTTACGTAAAAGTTAGGGAAAATCAAATTGGACAATAATGGACAATAAATCACATATTTTTCAGTCTCAATAAACAAAGCAAACAGAAATTCTAATTGATGATATATAAAATTAGGTAATTTCTCAATGTTAATGTTTGTTCAGTTTTGGTGAAAAAAGATTTATGAAGTAGTTTTCTTTTGCTAATCTCATTGCAGTGGAATCGTTCCTAAGTTTATAAAAGGGGAACACACAATAGTTTCCTTGTGAGCAAATATCGAAATGTTCACTGCATGGCGTGTTTCTGAGGCTCGGATTGTTAATTTGTTGGCGATGTACGCGCATGCGGGCGGTTAATTGGGTCCCGGTCTGGCCGATGTATTCCTCTCCGCAGTTGTTACACGTAATACAATAAAGGAGGTTTTTGCTCTTACAGGTCATATTTTCATTCACAAGAAATGTTTTTCCACACTTGAAAATAATAGAGGATCCTGTTCGTAGGTTAGGACAGGTACCGCATCTCGGATCACCGCATCTTGTTACGGAATATTGTTCTGGAGTGGTGTTGAATTTAGCTCTGGTCAATAGTCTTTTTAAATTTGGCGGTTGTCTTTGGCTGCGAATCAAATCCGATTTTGGTATAAGTTGATGAAGATCATTATCCCTTTCAATGATGGTAAAATTCTTTCTTGCCTCTTGAAATATATTAATGTGTTTCGGATTGAATGTTGTTACAAAAGGGATTAAGAATGGGTCTTTGTCCTTTTTTCTGGTTGTTCTTAAAATATGCTGCGGAATTTTCTTGGATTATTCTATGGCAGAAAGGATAAGATTTTCTGGATAATGTTGTGCTAAAAGAAATGTTTTTAGTTCGGTCAACCTTTTATTTCTAGTTTCTGTATCTTTCACAATCATACAAATCCTTCTGGCTAAGTTGTAAGGGATATTTCTTTTGGTGTGAGTAGGATGACACGAAGTGAAGTTTAGATATTGGTGCGTATCCGTGGTTTTATAAAAAATATCCGTTAAAATAAGTGAGTTTTGCTTTGTGACCATGACGTCAAGGAAAGGAATAGAGGAATCACTGTGCTCCATTGTGAATTGAAGATTTGGGTTTATTGAATTTAGTAGCGTGTAGAGTGTTTGTAAATCCTCTTCTGATTTGTTCCAAAATAGGAAACAGTCATCTAAAAATCGTTTCCAATAATCCCTTAAATGTTTTCCAATTTCTTGGCCTAATTCATCGGAAACTTTTTGATACAATGTTTCTTCAAAGAATCCCATAACAAGGATGCTGTATGTTGGTGCCATTTTAGTCCCCATGGCGGTTCCTTTGATCTGTTTATAAAAATCTCCATCAAAATGAAATGTGTTGTTTTCCAGTATAAATCTAACTGAGTCTAGGATAAATTCTGAAGAAATGTTTCTTGGAATTAACTCTGGGTACTTTTCAATCCAATATTTTATGGCTTCTAGTCCAAGATCATGTGGAATATTAGTATATAAACTCTTCACATCAAAGGTTACAAGTAGTGTATCTGGCTCCACGTTTTCGGGAATTTTGTTTAAAAAATCCATGCTATCTCGTATGTAGCTCGGGACTTTTTCACACAAATCCTTCAAGAGTATATCTATAAAATTACTCAGTCTATGAGTGGGACACGCAGGACCAGCCACAATTGGTCGAAGTTTCAGATCTGTTGGTTCTTCAGTAGCAATGTATGTTCCGTTCTGTTCCTCTATGGCCGTTTTAATATCACTGCTTTTATGTATTTTAGGTAGTCCATAAAAGTTGCTTGTTTTCATTTCAAAGTTTATTAAATAGTCAAGCTCATCCTTTTTTAATAAATTTTGATGTTTTTTGCATAATTGTTTGAGCTGCCTCATGATTGTTTTGTCAGGATTATCAGGCAATTTGATGTAGAAATTATCATCACTCAGTTGTTGAAGAACTAGGGATTTATAGAAAGGTTTGTCCATACAAACTATTGCTCCTCCTTTGTCCGCTTCTTTGAAGATAATTTCCGTTTCTTTTTGTAATTCCTGTAGAGCGTTTTTATGTTTTACACTCAAATTGTTTTTCACAGGATTTTTGTTTAGCAAAGATGATTTTGTGGACTTCAGAACATCTATATAGTCATCTAAATCCTTGTTACGTCCTTTTTGTATTGTCGTCCCTTTTTTTATTTCTCACAATACAATCGTCATCTTTATTTACCCGTCCAAAAAATTCTCTTAAACGCAGTTTTCTACAGAATTCATCTATATCCTTTTCTAGGTTTTGATTGTCGGGGTTGGGTGTTGGTGTAAATTTAAAGCCCTTTTCTAACAATTCTTTTTCCTCTTGAGTAAACGTTTTACTTGAAATATTAATGATTTTTGGGTCCACTTTTTTTACGCCCAGCTTTTCCATCGATATTTCTGAATTTTGCCCTTCCACAAAAAAGGCTTACCTTGGTTTTTCTTTTTGTTGCTGTTGTTATTGTTGTTGTTCTTGGGTTTGTAGTTTGCCTTATTGTTGTGGGGAAATTCTTGCTGAAATCTCGGTTCCTGTAGTCCTTGGTCCCTTTGATTTTGATTGAAATTAGAATTCTGATGGTAACTTTTGACATCAGATGTTGGGGACGGTCTCCATTTTTGCTTGAAAAATTTTCCATGTTGAATGGTGTTATTACTTACGCTTTCGGCATAAGTTTTACAGTATGTCTGTTCCTGACTCTGGTTTGATTTCAATGGTTTGCTTTTTTTCGGTTTCTGGTTTCTGTCCAAGTCAACGGTTCCATAGTTTTCTTCATAATGATCATAAAATGCCTTTTTCTTGGTCCAAATTTGTGTAGACTTTTCTTCTTCCTCGTGCGTATCTTTTTTCCACTTTTCCAGTAATTGGTTTTGGTCACAAAGCAAAACTCACTTATTTTAACGGATATTTTTTATAAAACCACGGATACGCACCAATATCTAAACTTCACTTCGTGTCATCCTACTCACACCAAAAGAAATATCCCTTACAACTTAGCCAGAAGGATTTGTATGATTGTGAAAGATACAGAAACTAGAAATAAAAGGTTGACCGAACTAAAAACATTTCTTCTAGCACAACATTATCCAGAAAATCTTATCCTTTCTGCCATAGAAGAATCCAAGAAAATTCTGCAGCATATTTTAAGAACAACCAGAAAAAAGGACAAAGATCCATTCTTAATCCCTTTTGTAACAACATTCAATCCGAAACACATTAATATATTTCAAGAGGCAAGAAAGAATTTTACCATCATTGAAAGGGATAATGATCTTCATCAACTTATACCAAAATCGGATTTGATTCGCAGCCAAAGACAACCGCCAAATTTAAAAAGACTATTGACCAGAGCTAAATTCAACACCACTCCAGAACAATATTCCGTAACAAGATGCGGTGATCCGAGATGCGGTACCTGTCCTAACCTACGAACAGGATCCTCTATTATTTTCAAGTGTGGAAAAACATTTCTTGTGAATGAAAATATGACCTGTAAGAGCAAAAACCTCCTTTATTGTATTACGTGTAACAACTGCGGAGAGGAATACATCGGCCAGACCGGGACCCAATTAACCGCCCGCATGCGCGTACATCGCCAACAAATTAACAATCCGAGCCTCAGAAACACGCCATGCAGTGAACATTTCGATATTTGCTCACAAGGAAACTATTGTGTGTTCCCCTTTTATAAACTTAGGAACGATTCCACTGCAATGAGATTAGCAAAAGAAAACTACTTCATAAATCTTTTTTCACCAAAACTGAACAAACATTAACATTGAGAAATTACCTAATTTTATATATCATCAATTAGAATTTCTGTTTGCTTTGTTTATTGAGACTGAAAAATATGTGATTTATTGTCCATTATTGTCCAATTTGATTTTCCCTAACTTTTACGTAACGTAGCCATACTATGACGTCATAGATTACTTCCTTCCCTGCAAAGACTCTCATGACGTCATGACGTCATAGTTAACGTTACTAAGCAAAACAATCAGTTCAATTTATGTACACCTGAAGACGGATTATGAAATCAAGAAAGCGCTTGTGTTAAATGAAATTTGGAAACTTCATTTTCTTTTTCTTTTATAATTATTTTCACCTGTGTGACATCGACTGTGAACTATTTTCAACTATATATATATATATATATATTATTTTTTTTTTGATGTGTTTATTTCTTACCGTTTCTTTTTTTTTATTCATGCGCGGATTCTCGCCGGAATTTGCAAAATAAAAGTGATCTTGTAGCCCTATTCCCCTCTGGAAAAGTAAGACTCCCCATCCCCGTTGAAATCGCAAATCTGTGATCTTAGTTTGCTTAAAAAGTCGTAGGTATGAAGATAATTTATAAGTCAAGGACTACTAACACCCCCCAACCCCGAAATATGTTTTTTTACGCTTTGTATATATCCCTTTTCTTTAGTAAATTCAGCAAGGCTATCAAATCAACAATAACTTCTTCTGAATCAATTTCCGCCAAATATCCTCCCGAGTATAAGCATTAATGCATTCAGTGTTTATATTGAGAAATGTTTTTGTTTAAGTTTAAAAAGAGGCAGCGAATAACTAAAATAAAACTTAACTTGATTTTATTTTATGCTTACACGTATAAGGATAGAAAAAAGCGTTTTTATTTCGTTCTTAGACTTTCAATGTATACATATAACATTCATTCTACTGAATGAACATGGAAAGCAACGCGGCGAATAAATTATGTACATGTAACTAACAACAACGCGTGCTGTTACTTAAACAGGCAATCGGAGTATCGAGCCCCCCCCCCCCCTTCTGTTTTTCTAAGGGGTTTAACAATTTTGGATTTTTGTATTGCAAGTTAGTAATACCGTTACCCTTTTATCTCTTTACGCTGTTTTTAAATACATGATTTTTGTTTTCGACTGATACATAAAACACCGTGTATATCCCAACATGCCAGTACTATGTTGTGCGCGGGGTGTATGCTTCCGAAGCGAGGAAAAGTGGGTCAATGTATGTTCTTCGTCCATTTTCTCAACTTACTGATATTTTTCGCCACAAAGCATATGCCTACGGAAGAAAGCATTAACTAAGGAGTATATGGATACCTATGAAACCACTGGACACCTTCTACTTTTATCAAACACCTCAACACAATTCCGAGGATCGGAGCAAGATTGACGCTACACTGTGTTTGTGATCAAATATCAGAACAAAGCTTTGCTTTATCATCACTTTTATATTATTGTTAAATACATGTTTACAATATAAACGTTAGTACAAAATGTCTGTAAATAAAACAGTTCGTATATAAAGATATTGACGAAAAATCAATGTTGTGTCCGGGGTGTATGCAACATGTTGTACACGGGGTGTATACCCTCTTTTTACTCCATAGTATCATTGTCTGAAATATCATTAAGAAGCATACACCCCGCGTACAACATAGTATACACCCCGCATGTAGGGATATACACGGTGTAAAAAGAGACGGCCTGCAATTTGTTTTTATTCTCGACGTCTGCCTCACTTAATCTTCACTTGCATTATCACTATCTAAAGCGTGGAGAATCATGGAATAAGCAGACATCGATAAATTTGAAACACGTTCTTCTTCCTTTTCAGATTTCCATTTTTATTAAATTAATTCTTTATGTGCCTCTGATTAGTAAATATTTCGATTAAATCAACATGCACATATAGGGTGTAGCACATACCGTTTCATAATTGAGTTCGACTTTCCATAGGCGAGCAGAGGTTTGACGCTGTTTACGGAGATAAAATTAATGAAAACAAAGACATGCATCCCATATATGGTTGTGTAGATACATGTAACAATAGTAATAAACAGTTTGTTATTGCATTTCCACTGAAAGTGTACACTAAAATGAGTGCGTTTCTGAGGAGGGGGAATCGAGTGTAATTCGGAGTGTTTTATAATTATACACATTTAATACATGTATTCAATATTTATAAATCATACATGATACAAGGGTTAAAATTTATTTCCGAATCAAGTACACGTGCTTTCAGAATAGACCCGAGAATATACGTTTGAAAACACATAATGTGATTGATAACACATAATGAAACGCTATCTAACACTTTCAATGATGGTCATTCGAATCAAAATAGGCCTTCATCATTTTTTATAACTTCAGCATGTTCTTTGTATACGGTTACACTAAACAACCAATTTCAATAAAAGGTATAGCTAGATAATGTACTGAATTTTTCCCTTTCTCACCGTGACGTCATAATCAGATGTGCACAAGAAAGTCGCCCAAATCATATAAATTGCGTACCCAGTTTTAATGACATCAGCAAACCCGCGACCTACGTTAAAAACTGCTAAGGAAAACTGTTTACTCTCAAAGCCCTAGCAGTTACTGAAGAGCAGTAAAAACCAAACTGCATGAAACTGTTTGAAAACTGCTAAAAATTTGTAAAACTGCTAAAGAACTGCCTAATAACTGCCTATATAGGCAGTTCACTTTTCCATGGGAAATTACCGTAAAGAAAATAGATATGCATATTTTAAAGTGAATTTGTGATTCTTTGATAACCAATCAACTTATTAACATTTAAGGTAAACCATATGTGGAGACCAGTCTTTATATCCATAATTTAATTAGTCACATCTGAAGTGCTATTAAAATGACTAATATTCAAAAGAATTTCATTCTTACCCTTATTTATTTTCATTCTCTTTTAGGACAGGACAGAGTTTTAATGAAGAAGTTTGATATTTTAAAGATGTGTTGCTTGTTTAGGCAAGAATCATTACCGCAGCTTCCAATTCCATTGTCAAGAACATCACATATAGAAAAGTCGAAGAACTTCTATACCCAGTGATATAGCAGTTTTATGTTTTGATTGACTGAGTTAACAAATTTGTTTTGCTCTTCATCAGTAACTGTATAAATTATATATTTTTACAAGTTTGCTATTGGTATATGGTTTACAGGTATATTTATACCTCTGCTCCGAAGGAGATGGGGGTATACTGTTTTACCCTTGTGTGCCTGTCTGTGTGTCTGTTGGTAACAAATTTTCGTCGCAGATTTCTCAGCAATTCCTCTTGGATGCTTGAAATGTTAACACAATCTTCTCTGAGGCATGCCATATAGTGGGATACATTTTTAGCTCTACTGGTCAGAGACCAGAAGAGCTTATGCGATAGTAAGGTGTCCGTCGTCCGTCCGTCTGTCTGTCTGTCCGTCTGTAAACAATTTTTCAAAACGCTACTCCTCCTACAGCTTTGGTCTGATTTTAATATAATTTGGCACACAAGTAGACTACACTAAGATACATAAAATAGTGCATCGGTTTTTGATTTCGATGAACGGTTTTGCCATGGTTACTAAAAATAGAATTTTCTGTGAAATTCCTTTAAAATGCTTCTTCTTCTACAGTTTTGATCTGATTTCAATGTTACTTGGCACACAGGTAGACTACACTAAGATACATAAAATAGTGCATCAATTTTTTTATTTCGATGAACGGTATTTCCTTGTTACTAAAAATAGAATTTTCTGTGAAATTCCTCTAAAACGCTACTCCTTCTACAGTTTTGGTCTGATTTCAATATTACTTGGCACACAAGTAGACGACACTAAGATACATAAAATAGTGCATCGGTTTTTTATTTCCGTGAACGGTATTTCCTTGGTTACTAAAAATAGAATTTTCTGTGAAATTCCTTTAAAACGCTACTCCTTCTACAGTCTTGGTCTGATTTCAATATTACTTGGCACACAAGTAGATGACACTAAGATACATAAAATAGTGCATCGGTTTTTGATTTCGATGAACGGTATTTCCTTGGTTACTAAAAATAGAATATTCTGTGAAATTCCTTTAAAACGCTACTCCTTCTACAGTCTTGGTCTGATTTCAGTATTACTCGGCACACAAGAAGACGACACTAAGATACATAAAATAGTGCATCGGTGTTTTATTTCAATGAACGGTATTTCCTTGGTTACTAAAAATAGAATTTTCTGTGAAATTCCTTTAAAACACTACTCCTTCTACAGTTTTGGTCTGATTTCAATATTATTTGGCACACAAGTAGACGACACTAAGATACATAAAATAGTGCATCGGTTTTTGATTTCGATGAACGGTGTTGCCATGGTTACTAAAAATAGGATTTACTGTGAAATTCTTTAAAACGCTACTCCTTCTACAGTTTTGGTCTGATTTCAATATTAATTGGCACACAAGTAGACGACACTAAGATACATAAAATAGTGCATCGGTTTTTTGATTTCGATGAACAGTGTTGCCATGGTTACTAAAAATAGAATTTTCTGTGAAATTCCTTTTAAAGCTACTACAGTTTTGGTCTGATGGCAATGGCTTCTTTTCTCATCCTTTGTTTTAAGTACAAACCAGTAGAGCTACAGTCTCGACAGAGACTTCTGGTTATTCAAATTCGATGTCAATTTCCTGCATCCATCGGTTTCATACATAACAAATTTTCTCATTAACTATATATAGCAGATGTTTGAAATTGTACTACACTCTTTGTTTAAGCATGCCATATGGTGGAATTAATTTTTATATGAATCTGATGTCAACTTCATATTTTTCTGTGGATCTGCCTGTAAGTGTATATTAATATGATAGTGCTTATTTACATCAGAGTGGGGGTATTACTAGTGAGCATTGGCTCACAGATTTCTTGTTTGATCAGTATCTGATGAAATTTAATTGTTATGACATACAAATGGACTCTATCAGAGCTGATCCAGTGTGTCTGCTTAATGTAGATAAACTCATAAACCCTGTAAATTTTGAGTTCAGTCAAATTAAATGCACTCCAGATCGCTTTACTTGTAATTCTTATTTGAACCATAGTTTACATATTGGTATATGAGTACCAATCTAATTAAAATTAGATGTTAGATCCGCGCACATACTCTCTACACTAACATCTAACAACAACCCATTGAGGGTCACGTCAGAGGTCAAATTCTATCAACCAATCAAATCGTTGCTGGCAAAACTATCGTATATTGTTGAAGCGAATAAGTCTAGAGCCGTTCCGAATTTGACCTCTGACGTGACCCTCAATTGGATGTTGTTAGATGTTAGTGTAGCGAGTATGCGAGCGGATCTAACATCTAATTTTAATTAGATTGTATGAGTACTTGATGTTATTAAACGATGAAAACGAAGTCAAATGAGCTTATGCTATAGCCTCGGCTTTGGCGTTAGCATCGGCGTCCCAGGTTAAAGTTTTAGGAGCAAGTCCATTCCCAAGTAACTATTAGCCCTTCCTGGACCAAACTTGCATGGATGATGCATCTAGAGATGGACACTACCAGACTTCCTTCGGATGCTGGATCTGACCTACATTTTCCACATGAGTGATCAGGTTAAAGTTTTTGGAGCATGGTCATTCTCTATTGAACTTCTAGACTTATTTAAGCAGAACATGCTTGAATATTGTTGTCAGAATAATTACAAAGTGTTAAGAAAATATGATGTGAGATTTGCATTACTTAAACCAATAACATTCCTCGAGGTTAGCTTCGTAATCTTTGATTACCTATGTTTTAACTTTGCATTTCTAGTATACCCTCAGTAGAGCATTCATGTCCTATGGACATATTTCTTGTTATCTTGATGACTCTCATTGACTGGACCCAATTGCTGCAGATACTGGTTAATCCCGAAATGATAAAGCGGTATGATTAGATTGAATACAAGTATTTTGGTTTAGTTTAGTAACAATGCTCGCAAATTAAGCTTTTTAATTGCATGTAACTGTGGCGGTCAGCCAGGCTCGATAACCCATGGCCAGATTGCTCAGTTGGTAGAGCACCTATCAAGAGTTTCAGGGGGCCCGGGTTGAATCCCGGTCTGGTCTGCAGCATTTTCTCCTCTACCTTTACATTTGGAGCCATGCCCTGGAATTGACGTGAAAGACCTGCTAAGATGAGTCTGGGTTTGGGTCTTTGGAGAGTAAAAGACTTTAAAGTAGGGAGGAATGTGGCTCGGTCTAGTCCGCTGCATTTTCTTCTCTACTTTACAGATTTGGTGTCGTTGACCACTCCTAGGCTTGCAGGTGAAATTCCTGCCAGAGGCTACAAAGAACTTGGGTTATGTCAAGGGTGAAGACCTTTTAAGAAAGAAGGAATGTAACAGACTGGACCTTGGATAACACTTGAACCATGACTGGGTTAGGTAGTTTAGAAACTTGTTTATTTTGAACCGTGACTGGGTTAGGTAGTTTGTAGACTTGGTTAGGTTGAACCGTGACTGAGTAAGGTAGTTAAGAGACTTGGTTATGTTGAACCGTGACTGGGTTAGGTAGTTTAAAGACTTGGTGATGTTGAACCGTGACTGGGTTAGGTTGTTTAGTGACTTGGTCATGTCGAACCGTGACTGGGTTAGGTAGTTTATAGACTTGGTTATGTTGAACCGTCACTGGGTTAGGTAGTTTACAGACTTAGTGATGTTGAACCGTGACTGGGTTAGGTAGTTTATAGACTTGTTTATGTAGAACCGTGACTGGGTTATGTAGTTTAGAGACTTGTTTATGTAGAACCGTGACTGGGTTATGTAGTTTAGAGACTTGTTTATGTAGAACCGTGACTGGGTTAGGTAGTTAAGAGACTTGTTTATATTGAACTGTGACTAGGTTATGTAGTTTAGAGACTTCTTTATGTAGAACCGTGACTGGGTAATGTAGTTTAGAGAATTCTTTATGTAGAACCATGACTGGGTTATGTAGTTTAGAGACTTGTTTATGTAGAACCGTGACTGGGTTATGTAGTTTAGAGACTTGTTTATGTAGAACCATGACTGGGTTATGTAATTTAGAGACTTGTTTATGTAAAACTGTGACTGGGTTAGGTAGTTAAGAGACTTGTTTATATTGAACCGTGACTAGTTTATGTAGTTTAGAGACTTCTTTATGTAGAACTGTGACTGGGTTATGTTGTTTAGAGACTTGTTTATGTAGAACCGTGACTGGGATAGGTACTTTAGAGGCTTGTTTATGTAGAACCGTGACTGGGTTATGTTGTTAAGAGACTTGTTTATGTAGAACCGTGACTGGGATAGGTACTTTAGAGGCTTGTTTATGTAGAACCGTGACTAGGTTATGTAGTTTAGAGACTTCTTTATGTAGAACAGAGTCTGGGTTATGTAGTTTAGAGACTTGTTTATGTAGAACCGTGACTGGGTTATGTAGTTTAGAGACTTGTTTATGTAAAACCGTGACTGGGTTATGTAGTTAAGAGACTTGTTTATGTAGAACCATGACTAGGTTATGTAGTTTAGAGACTTCTTTATGTAGAGCCGTGACTGGGTTATGTAGTTTAGAGACTTGTTTATGTAGAACCGTGACTGGGTTATGTAGTTAAGAGACTTCTTTATGTAGAACCGTGACTGGGTTATGTAGTTTAGAGACTTCTTTATGTAGAACCGTGACTGTGTTATGTAGTTAAGAGACTTGTATATGTATAACCGTGACTAGGTTCTGTAGTTTAGAGACTTATTTATGTAGAGCCATGACTGGGTTATGTAGTTTAGAGACTTGTTTATGTAGAACCGTGACTGGGTTATGTAGTTTAGAGACTTCTTTATGTAGAACCGTGACTGGGTTATGTAGTTTAGAGACTTGTTTATGTAGAACAGAGTCTGGGTTATGTAGTTTAGAGACTTGTTTATGTAGAACCGTGACTGGGTGATGTAGTTTAGAGACTTGTTTATGTAGAACCGTGACTAGGTTCTGTAGTTTAGAGACTTCTTTATGTAGAGCCGTGACTTGGTTATGTAGTTTAGAGACTTGTTTATGTAGAACCGTGACTGGGTTATGTAGTTTAGAGACTTCTTTATGTAGAACCGTGACA